GCTGTAGGTCCCTTATATATGGCCTTTATTATATTGAGGAATGTTCCCTCTATTCCCACTTTGCTGAGTGTTTTCATCATAAATGGATGCAGTACCTTATCAAATGCTTTTTACTATTGATGTGATCATGTGATTTTTGTCTTTGCTTTTGTTTATGTGATGTATTACATTTACTGATTTGCGAATATTGTATTATCCTTGCATCCCTGGGATGAATCCCACTTGGTCATGGTCTATGATCTTTTTAATGTATTGTTGGATGCGGTTTGCCAATATTTGGTTGAGGATTTTAGTGTCTATGTTCATCAGCAATATTGGCCTGAAGTTTTCTTTCTTTGTTGTGTCTTTATCTGGTTTTGGGATTAGGATGATGCTGGCTTCGTAAAAAGAGTTTGGGAGTCTTCCATCATTTTGGATTTTTTGGAATACTCTGTGAAGGATAGTGGTTAGCTCTTTCTTAAATGCTTTGTAGAATTGTCCCTTGAAGTCATCAGGTCCAGAGTTTTTGTGTGTCGGGAGTTTTTTGATTACTGCTTCAATTTCATCTGCTGTTATTAGTCTGTTCAGGCTTTCTGCTTCTTCTTCATTGAGTTTTGGAAGATTATATTTTTCTAGAAAGTTGTCCATTTCACCTAAGTTTTCAAATTTCTTGGCACACAGTCCTTCATAGTAATTTCTTATAATCCTTTGTATTTCTGTGGTGTCAGCTGCAATATCTGCTCTTTCATTTCTCATTGTGTTTATTTGGGTCTTCTCTCTTTTTTTCTTGATGAGCCTGCTTAATGGCTTGTTGATTTTGTTTATCTTTTCAAAGAACCAGCTCCTGGATTCATTGATCCTTAGAATTGTGCTTTTAGTCTCTATGCCATTTAATTCTGTTCTGATCTTGGTTATTTCCTTCCTTCTGCTTGCTCTGGGCTCTCTTTGTTGTTGTTCCTTGAGTTCTTGTAGACGTAGGGTTAGGTTGTTTGTTTGAAATGTTTCTATATTTTTTAGGTAGGCCTGTGTCACTATGAACTTCTTTCTCAGGACTGCCTTCACTGTGTCCCATAAGTTTTGGGTTGTTGTGAGTTCATTTTCATTTATTTCCAGAAATTTTTTTATTTCTTTCCTAATTTCATTCTTGACCCATTCAATATTTAATAGCATGCTATTTAATCTCCATGATTTTGAGTGTTTTAGGTGTTTTTCTTTGGGGTTGGTTTGTTTTTTCAGTCCCTTGTGGTCAGAGAAAATGCTTGATATGATTTCATTTTTTTGAATTTTATTGAGACTTGTTTTGTGTCTTATCATGTCGTCTGTCTTTGAAAATGTTCCATGTGCATTTGAAAAAAATGTGTATTTAGCTTCTCTGGAATGAAGGGCTATGTACATATCAGTGAAGTACCTTTCATCTAGGGCATTGTTTAATGCCACAATATCTTTGTTGGTTCTTTGTTTGGAAGATCTGTCCATTTTTGACAGTGGGGTGTTAAAATCCCCTACTATAATTGTGTTGCTGTCAATACCTTTCTTGAAGTCCTCTAAGGTTTTCTTTATGTATTTGTGTGTTCCTATGTTGGGTGTATATATATTTACAATGTTTATGTCTTCTTGGTGGATTCTTCCCTTGAGTATTATGAAGTGACCTCCTGGATCTCTCTCTGTGGCCCTTTTTTTGAAGTCTATTTTGTCTGATATGAGTATTGCTACCCTGGCTTTTTTTCCTGTCCATTTGCTTGGAAAATTTGTTTCCATCCCTTCATTTTCAGTCTGTGTAGATCTTTTGTCCTGAGGTGGATCTCTTGGAGGCAGCATATGTGTGGGTCATGCTTTCTTACCCATTCAGCTATTTGATGTCTTTTGATTGGAGCATTTAATCCATTTACATTTAAGGTTATTATTGATAAGTACTTATTCATTGCCATTTTCGTACCTGCGTTCCTCTCTCTCTCTCTCTCCCCCTCTTTTCCTTCCTTTCCTTAAAGCAGTCCCTTTAGCATCTCCTGCAGAGCTGGTTTGGTGGAGGTGTATTCTTTTAGACTTCTTTTGTCTGGGAAGCTCTTTATTTGGCTTTCCGTCTTGATTGAAAGCCTTGCTGGGTAAATTAGCCTTGGTTGCAGGCCTCTGGTTCTCATTACTTGGAATATTTCTTACCATTGTCTTCTGGCTTGGAGCATTTCCATTGAGAAGTCAGCTGCTAGCATTATTGGGGCACCCTTATATATTACTTCCTGTTTCTCCCTTGCTGCCTTTAAGATTCTCTCTTTGTCTTGGACTTTTGCCATTTTAATTATGATGTGTCTTAACGTGGGCTCTTTGGATTCCTCTTGATTGGAATGCTCTGTGTTTCCTGGATTTGTGTGGCTTTTTCTCTCATCAAATTAGGGAAGTTTTCTATCATTACCTTTTCAAACAGGTTTTCTGTTTTTTTGCTCTTCTTCTTCGCCTTCTGGTATCCCTATTATATGGATTTTATTACATTTCACATTGTCCTGCATTTCCCTTAATCCCTGTTCATTCTTTCTTTGCCTCTTTTCCTTTGCTTGCTCTTTCTGGGTGTTTTCTTTTTTTTCTAGTTTGTCCTCAAGCTCACCTATCCAATCTTCTGCTTCATCAGTCCTGCTTTTGATTCCTTCTACTGTGTCCTTCAGTTCAGGTATTGTGTTCTTCATTTACTCTTGGCCCTTGTTAATATTTTCTATTTCCTTTTTCATGTTGATATAGTTTTTAGTGAATTCATTGTAGTTTCCCTGTAGTTTCTCGTAACTCACTTTGAGGTCATTGAGCTTCCTGATAACCATTGCTTTGAAATCAGTATGTGATAATTGAGTTACCTCTATTTCATTTAGCATTCTTTCTGAGGCTTCCTCCTTTCCCTTCATTTGGGGATTGTTTCTTTGTCTTCCCATTGTTTGTGAGACTCTTCCTGTTAGCCTTAGCTTCTTAAATTGATCTGTTCTGGCTCCCTGGGCTTATGGTGTGAACTTCTGTGGTGGAATACCTGTGAGATTCAGTGATGCAGTCTCCTTCAGGTATCCTGGTGTTCACAGGTTCCACCTACTTGTCTCAGCTGTTGGGATGCTCCCTCTTTGGGTCCAACTCTAATCTTTTCACAGTTCCAGGGTTTTTTTCTCACTTGTGGGTAGTTTAAAAGAAAAAAGAAAAACCAAAGGAAAAAAAGCAGAGGAAGTAAGGAAGAAGAGATAATATTGGAAAGAACGGAAGAATGAATAAAATGTCTGGGTTTTCAATATCCGCTACAATTTTTGACCTCCGGTTTCCATATATGCTGTGGGTTGGCTGTTTGCTCTGTTCCTCCATAGATTGGCTAGGTTTTTCTCCTCTGTGTAGGGGGAAGTGGAATCTTCTCTCTCTTCAATAAGCTCAAGGTCACCAGTCCTCCAGGAAAAAGGGAAATAGTTCAGTTGAAACACCTGTCATTTGTGACCTCCTATATCATTCTTAAACTCTCCTCGTCTGTTTTATGGCTACCAATTATGCTTCTTATTCCCTGTACCTCTTCCCCCTTATTCTTCTCCTCCGCTTCCCCACTGAAAACCCTCTATGTGATGTCTATTTCTGTGATTCTGTTCCTGTTGTAGCTGTTTGCTTAGTGTTTGTTTTCACTTTTTTTAGGTTCAGTTCTTGATAGTTGTGAGTTTGTTGTCATTTTGCTGTTCATAGTTCTTGATCTTCTTCTTTTTCTTAGGTAAATCTCTTTAACATTTCATGTAATAAGGGCTTGGTGATGATGAACTCCTTTAACTCAACCTTATCTGGGAAGCACTTAATCTCCCCTTCCATTCTAAAGGACAGCTTTGCTGGATACAGTAATATTGGATGTAGGTCCTTGCCTTTCATGACTTGGAATACTTCTTTCCAGCTTCTTCTTGCCTGTAAGGTTTCTTTTGAGATATCAGCTGATAATCCTATGGGCATTCCTTTGTAGGTGACTCTCTCGTTTACTCTTGCTGGTTTTCTCTCTTTATCTGTAATATTAGGTAACTTAATGATGATGTGCCTTGGTGTGTACCTCTTTGGGTACTACTTCTTTGGCACTCTCTGGGCTTCCTGGACTTCCTGGAAGTCTATTTCCTTTGACAGATTAGAGAAGTTTTCCTTCATTATTTTTTCAAGTAAGTTTTCCATTTCTTGCTTTTGTTCTTCTCCTTCTGTACCTTTGTAATTTGGATATTGGAATGTTTGAACTTGTCTCAGAGGTTCCTAAGCCTCTCTTCTTTTTTTTTTGAATTCTCATTTATTTATTCTGTTCCAGTTGGATGTTTATTTCTTTCTTTTGTTCCAAATTGTTGATTTAAGTCCTAGTTTCCTTCCTTTCACTATTGCTTCCTTGAATAGTTTGCTTTATTTCACTTTGGGTCGCCTTCAGTTGTTCCTTCATTTTTCAACCAAGCTCTCAGTAAATTCTCTGAGCATCTTGATTACCAGGATTTTGAACTCTCCATCAGATAGATTGGCTATCTCCTTGTCATTTATCCCTTTTTCTCGAGTTTTGCCCTGTTGTTTCATTTGGGCCATATTTCTTTGTCTCAGTGCACCTATTAAGTTGTAAGGGGGTGGGGCCTTAAGTGTTTACTAGGGCACAGTAACCTTCTTTGCTGTGTTGTGGTGCTTCTGTGGGGGAGGGGTCAGAGAGGGAACAATGCAGCTCACTTGCTGGGCTCTAGCCCCACTTTCCAACAAACTCCCTTGTGAGACTGGCAGTTTCTCCCACTGTGGTGACCCTCCGCCATAGTCCACAGTCAGCTCTGAGTCTGAGTTCCCCATTCAGCTATCTCCACCTGTGCGATCCGCTGCCTTACTGCAGGTCCTTTCAGCCAGCTCTGTCTGTGTGGTCAGCCTCCTTGCCCTGGGTTTTCTCTCTCTCTCTGCCTGTCTGCTCCATCTCGATCCTACTGATCTGATTGATCTGGTTGACTGTTTCTTTAATTCCTTGGTTGTCAGAGTTCCATGCAGTTTGATTTTCTGACACTTCTTGTCATTTATTTTTTTTTTAGATTGGTTGTTATCCTCCTTTTGGTTCAAGAAAGTGAAGGGTTTCTACCTACGCCTCCTTCTTGGCTGGAACTGGGGTATTGGATGATTAAAGTGGGGCAATTTTTTTGAAGTGTCCCTACTCATCAGGATGGAAGAGTGGAGACCAGGAGATATATAATGTGAGTCATTTGACTTTTCTCTAAAGAAATCTCTGCAGAAAAAGAATGAGTATAAAAATGAATATGAGCATTCTGGAGAGAAGATGCCTTAAATTAGAGTCCTCTCTCTCCTTTTTGCCGAAGATTTTAATCTTTTAACATGTAAGCAGGTGGGAGGAGTCAAGGCCGGTGAAGAGTGAATTCTTAGAATAAGGTCTTTGCATAAAGTGGAGGCCAAGGTATAATGGAGCATCAAGTAAGAGAAAATGTGAAATGGAAGGAGAGATGATCAGGATGTTTTCCAAGAAAGATATAAGGAGAATAATCTAGAAGAATATTTCTTTATCAAGTATCATGATAACAGTGACTTGGGTGGGAAGGGGAAAGAATTTCTGATTGTAGCAAGTCATAATTTATAACCTAAGGATTGTGTTATTGCAGTTGGGGAATAAACATTGAGAAAAGAGGCACCCTTAAGAAGCAAATATGTTTTCACACAAATGTCTATTGTAATTAAAAAAAATAGGAAGTGGAAAGGAGAACACAACAAAGGTAGAATTATGATGAAAGCCTTGCAAATGGTTAATCTTTTTTAAAATAAAAAATAAACATAATTCCATGATCCAGGGCCAAGATGTAGAAGTTTCAATGTATAAAAACAGCTGAATGTGTTGGCTAGACCACTTGTGTTTGAATCTTGACTTTGACACTTACTAACAATATAATTTTGGGTAAGTTACATTGTTGCATGCCTCAGTTTCTTAACCTTTAAAATGCTAATAATTGTAGTACCTAACTCATAGGTGGGATTAAATGAGTTAATACACTCAAAACATTACTAAAGAGCTGGCACATACTGAATCTTCAGTAAAGAGCTAGCTAGCTGTTAGCCATAAAGCATGCTCTAAATAAAAAATGCAGTTTGAGATAATTACGGCAAACTTGCCACTACCTCTCTGGAGTGTTCCAGGGTATGAATTTTTATGCGTATCTCTGCATTTTAGTATTTTAGGATGTACATCGTATACACTCAAAATCTCCTAGACATTTAGTTTTCAAAGGAATAGTGAAGCTTATGGTGCCCCAAGCTTCTTGGACCTAATCTTTGAGGCTGTATTGCTACCACAGGAACAGACAGACTATTGAATAACTCTGAGATAGTGAACTTCTATCTTTGAGGAAGCCCATTTTATCTTTGACCAGCCCTTAGAGCTTGGAAGTCCTTTCTTACACTAGACTAAAGTGGACCATCCACAGGCTTCCGACTTTATTTGGTTTAGTGCCTTGGGTTTCTACAAAAGCCATCTCTTCTGTATGATAACCACATTTGTTATTTTCAGGTAGTTAACAGGTCCTTCTCAAGTCTTCTCTAGGCTAAAGTTATTTTTGTTGTTGTTGTTTCAGGTGTCCTCTAACCATCTTTCTTCTCTCTCACAGCACCAATAGGTACAAGGGCATGTTTTTCTTGGGTCTATATTCATATGATATATAGTTCACTGAAAAGTGCCTCTTTGTGACAAAACTGTCTTTATCATTTGGAAGGGAAACATTTTGACTTGTAACCTGCTTCTTAAATTCCAAATGTGGGAAGCTGGTGCATAACAAACTTATATTGCTAAAGAATCTTAGATCTTCCCTTGAGACTCAGTGTACTGGAATAGGCTTCCCTTTGTTCCCAGCCAGGTAGCTGTATAGAAGTCACAGTGTGATCACTCTGTTTCCAGTGACTGTGGCAGCCACTAGTGCACCTGCCCCATGCCCACACTCTGCTCAACCCTCCAGTGCACATGACTTCATCCTCATGACTGTGGTTCTGTTAACAATTCTTGTTCCTGTTTTCAGAAAACAAAATCAGTGCTAGGGTCAAGTTGGCCGCTGGTGAGAAAAGCCCAAGAGGAGGATTTTTTGGTAAAGATGAGTAGGATTATTCCTCTATATATTCTTAATCCATATAATTTTTCTCTTTTACCTACAAAATTGTGTGTTTTAGTCCCTTTTGCTTTATCCCTTGTTTTAATGCATAGAAATTATACAAATAACATGAAAATCACCTCACTTGTTTAGGATAGTCCAATTTTATTCCATGGAAACAATTTAAACTAATTATTTTTAAAGGCACTGCTATTCTCAAAGCACTGAGCACACACATACAGACTCTGGGGATGGTATACTTCATTTTTCAGTTTTCCCCAAGTGATTTTCTTCCCTTTTCCTTCCAACAAGACTCCCCGAGAGGAAGCCAATCACAGTGTTGTCACCAGCAGAAAGCTTTGAAAATACATTCATGGGCATGGGTAACTTGTGGGGGTGGCTGGGCGCCTTCTAGGAGACTTCACACATTTCCTGAACATGGAGCCTCACCATGGCAGCAGCCATGTCATATGACACATTGGTGACACATATAAGGTGCTGCCACAACTCATTCTGGGTTGAAAGCCTGTGTTCATTGTTTCCACTGACACTGTGACTGCTGTAACTTGTAGTTGGAAGGTTCTCTGGTTTTCAGTGCCATTAATTCACACTGACTCCCATGGCACATGGAGGGCTCAGGGAAGGGAAGGTAAATAAATAAGTACATGCTGTAAACATTGCCTTCATTAGCTTTACAGAGAAATATGTGCTCATTAGCCAACCTTCGTGCCTCCTGCATTCTTCTTCTTTAAGAATATTTTGTTGGTAACACCTTGGAAAGTTGAAAATGACTTTATTTTTAATTACCATTGTACCCATCTCCACTTGGCAAACTTCAAAAGAGTTCATGGTTGCCACATTTTAGTATTTATTTATATTCTTCACATTTAACAGATATATTGATGAAAGCATGATTCTGGGAATTTTTTTTTCATTGTGAAATTTATTGAAAACTCTATGTAAAACAGTTGGTGACATTGTGGGTCCATTGCTTATGTGGAGGGGGGCCTGAAGGTTATATTGTGTCAGAAGACTTTTCTAGAGGTTCAAGATGAGTGGTATTTAACATATTTAATTTCTGAGTGAGTCAGCGAGTGATTCAAAAAGTAAATGAGAAATCTGGAAGACATTAAAGAGATGTCAAGGACAGACAGATTTTGATTTGTAGCCTAATGAAACCTTCTGCCAAATTTTAAAGATTTTTTTGAGAGTAGAACTTTAATCATTTGCTTGTGTTTCTGGCATGGTAAGGTTATTCCTGTTTGTTACATGATGAATTCAAAGTGAAAATGGGATAATTTTTAATTAGCAAAATTATAAAACCATTTGCAGCCAAATGTTTCTTGTCTTGTATAAACTCTGAGGTTTCACATTTTGCTTTAATCATTTTAGGAAATTCATTCTGAAGATCTGTTTCAGTTGGTATTTTATGTATGGATACAAATCCTTAATATTAGAAATTATATCATAATTTTCTTTTCCAATGTCATTTGAGTAACCTGATAGGATTTCTGCTACGTGTGTTGTTTGTGTCTATTTTGGAAGTGTCATGGTTACCTGAGTTTGATGTACCACTAATATTCAAATAAGCATTTTGAATGCAAGGCTAAACACTGCAAGAGAAACTGTATTAGGGAGTTAGAAATGTTTCTTTAACTTTATGATGATTTAAAGTTGTATCATTTTGTACAGTTCAAAGTTGTTTTTTTGAAATTACCTATGTAATTATTTGAATCAAAATGTGATATTTCTACTTTGTGCTATAAATATGTAAAGAAATATTTTAAAATATATCTTATTAAGGAAATGAGAACAGTGGACCAAGTCATGGAAGCCTACACTTTTCATTTGACAGTGCTTCAGTTGCCTTCGATTATGGGAGTTTTACATTTTCTGGGTGGGGGTTTGTTATAAACATACTTGGAAACACAAGAATTCTATGGAAATGAGAAGGGACATAAGTGTTAAGAATTTAAGGATCTGGCTAGACTGGAACAGTTCGAGCTCCTTGAACTTCTTCTGTACCTTCTAGTTGGTTGGAGGGTTGTGCAGTGTTGTATCCTGTTTCTGTTGGATCCTGGAGGGCACTACATGACACCCTTGCAGTGCACCCCTTTCTACAGGAAGAAAGATGGTGGAAACTGTACCCACAATACTAAGTTAAGGTTCTAGTGAACCTTAAATCTAAAGGCCTTTATCTAAAGGCTCTCATCTTTAGCCATTTGTCTTTGAAAAATGATAGGGTTCACTTCAGAGCAGGAGGAAAAATTAGATGTATCAATGCATTTTTTTTTCAGACTGAATAATTCCTTAATGAAATAGATTCTTAAAGCTGCATGGTTCTCAGGGAATGTCATAGACCTAATCATGTATTATTAAATTGTGAATAAGACTGAAAGACAGGAACCTTAAACCTTAAATTCAAAACAAAAAAACTAATTACCAAGTGTCTGTTTTGTCACCAATTTAAAGAGGCAGTTATTGTTTGGGAGGTAAAAGGCATGTACATTATATAGGAATCCTTAGAACTCCCATCTAGACCTGGTAAAGACCTCACATGTTATTCAGCCAATCCATACAATATTCATAGTTTTCTAAAACAGAACCAGATAAGAGTTTCTTTAGGAAATTTCTTTTCCACTGTCTAATCATTAACATTAACTTTATTTGTTTTTCTTTTTATCTTTTTTATGTGACCACTAGAAAATGAAAAATTGCTTATGTGGCTCACTTTATATTTCTGTTGGACAACACTGTTATGGAACATGTCAATTCATGTTTATGAAATTATTAAGCTTCAAGAAATTCCTCAAAAGGGGATTCAAACATTGCTTAAGTTGAAAAAACACTCTACTAATTTAATTTATAAAAAAGAGAAAGTGAGACAGCTTTTCAAATTAATTCATTGTATCCACTGTAAATGCAACATAGCAATAAATATTCCCTCATGAAGTAGGGTCTGTGCAAAAACAGCTCCCACTCATTTCTGTCATAGATATACAACACTGACACATCTAGGTGAAGAGTCAAACAATTAACAAACTACTGATTTTTGACATCGAATGCTAGCAGATAACCTGTTTTTTTAAGGTATCTTCTATTTTGTCCTG